TGTTCAATGGGAACACGAATTAATGCATAAATAGATCCTGAATAGCATGCGCCTAATATAACCGACATTAGGATCCAGGTACACATTAATAATTTATTTATTTGAGTTATACGTGTGGTGCCATTTTGTCGCAACATTATAGATAATATATACCAACATAAATTAAATGTTCTAGTCGTCTTATTATTTGCATTACTTATTATTCCTAATATTAATAATGTGATTATAATTAATATCCAAATGTATGAATCGAAAGGTTGTAATAAATTATCGAAATGTGTTATCGTAGGCATAGCAGAAGTGAATGTAATATATTCACTATAATATGGATAGGTGTAATCAATGACATTTTGCCTCTCATTTGTCATTAATAAACAAGGTGCGATATCAGCACTCTAAAACACATGCAAAGTTAAAATAAATAAATATTAAAATTAACATTAATACCAGTAATTATAATAATTACTATGGAATAGTTAATATTTCAAATATTAAAAATTGTTAACAAATATTTCAAATCAAATTAATTATCTTAAATATATCGTAAAATTCATTTATGTTTAATATTTTATAAATTAACTGAGATATATACAGTGTTAATTTATTTGAAACATAATCAATTTATTTTATTGTATTAGAATAATCATTTGCTAACAATGTAACTAGGTAATACCTTTGACTGAAGCATACCGATAACCCCTGACCACGTGTTATTGACAGGCTGTGCCCCCCAAACACCGTTATTATTGAGCACATCGTATGTTATATTGTAATACTGGGCAATTGTTATGAAAAATAAGTCGCGTATACCACCAATCAATTCGTATCTTTCTGTTGAATTATTGTAGTTTAAAATAATATACGGGGGATACTAGTTGATTATTTAATAATTGCAATTAATAAATTAATTATGAATAATCAGATATATCGATATTTATAATATGAGCTTGGGACAATCATAGTAACGTTAGCTTTTTTATATTTATTATATCTAATTATTAATTTTATCCTAAAGTCAATTATTCATAAAATATACATAGGTTTAAGCTAAACGAGTAGTACTATGACTTATCAGGTTAAAATATTACTGCATTTTAAAGTATTAATAAAAATATCTAACATTACTATGATTGTCCCCAGCTCATATATTAAATGATTATATCTCTACCGAGAAATCAAGTCCACAATTTTTAATGAGATATGAATCAAAAGCACTTTAAATAAACTTGTACACTTTATGCGTAAGCAATATAAAAGCTTTTGACACATAACTCATCAAAAATTATGGGTTTATGTTCTCAGCACAGAAGTAACATTTATTTTTATTGTTATTTACATTATTAGTGGCTAATATTAAATGTATCCCGTTTAATTCTGACATTTCATTGAATATATTAAAATAATTCTATAAATAACCAAATCACATATATTTTTAACTTATACAAATATTTTCTATTATAACTGACTAATTAATTGTACTTATATTCATTTAGTGTAATACTGTATTTATACTATTTAAGTGCCAACATTTAAACATTGAATTATGACAAAGAAACTAGACACGATAGTTTGCAGTAATGTTTTATTTTATTTAATAATAATGTTTTGTTGTTGAATAAATACCGTAATAAATAATTATATATCTGGTTTTAAAAACATGTATATTAAAAAAATTGCCATTATAAATATTTAATATGTTTAACGTTTAATTCAAATATTATTGATAAATTTTAAAAGTAATAATAAATGATATGTTATTATTTTATCATATTTTTATTGATAATATTTACCACACATCATTATTGTAATTATAAATTAAAAGTTACACATTCATGAATAGCTATAAATAATTATTGTTCAAAAACATAAATTAAATCTATTTAAAACTTTTACACATAATATAAAAGTGCCACATGTTATTATTTAAAAACTATTTAAAATATTAAACTTGTTTCTCAACCTGAAGCTCTTTGTCGTTATTATTTTTACCATGGTTACCCTCCTTACTTTTACCTTGATTATAATCATTTTACTTAATTACAACTTTACTTTTCCTTTGGGTAACCATTCATACTATAACTGATATACAGTACCGACTGCACCGACAATCGTAAGCATCGGTAGCGCATAAATGGGTGATTGTGTCACTCCTTAGGGTCGTTCACAAAATACATAAAAATTACTTTCAACTTATATACAATATACAAATCGTGTATTGCACGTGTTTTACACGACACGTACCACATTACTGTCTGTTTAGCACCAGGTGTTGCTCAGATTAACTCAGATGGTACTAAATTTATAGTTATTGGTAACCCTAGACGGACCCAGATGTACAGTATTATACTCAACAAGTTTATTGTATTCTTACATTCATTTCAAATAAATCTCATAATTTACTGTTTTTTTTGGTCTAAAGTTATTAATTAGAAATATTAAACATATTTTGCGATCAAAATGAAGAGTTTCTTAATTATAAGTTTCGTATTGTATTATACATTGAGATTCAATGGACGAGTGAATGGTTTTAACAGCGATTTCGCAAAACTAGAGAATCTCTTAACGCAAGAGAAAGCAATGATTGAGTCGTTGAGTGAATATTTGGTGTCCGAAGAGGTCCTCAATTCTCGCTTAAGACGACTGACAGACAACTCATTGACTTTGAACTCAATTGCACTTAAAGAGGACACCGGGGGCTCACTTTTAGGACATCCACTCGACGTATATCTCCTCATCAGACGAATGGCTATCGACTGAAAGAAGTGAAGGATTTGTTGCGAACCAAAGACCAGCGCTTAAGTGTTGTCCAAATCCAGCAAATCGGTGGTCACTCTAACCATACAAATGCATTGAATGACACGTTTGAGTCGCAGTTTGTGTCCAGTAATCATGAGATCATCACTAATAAAGAGCTAAAAGGTATTCAAAAGAAGTTTTAGTTAATAATAGAGATGTTAATGAAAATGATTGACAACTTGTGGACAGACGCCGCGTTTGGTGTGATAAGTCTCGTCAGTACTTATGATTTGGATATCAAGTCATTAGCGAATGGATTCATTAGATCTCCAGTTCCCCTCTCACGAGCGCCTCTCAATACACTCCAATATATAGATGTAATGATTACGTGTAATAGTCAATGAAATTGGATCCAGTTCATTGTGTGTGGTATACAATAGTAATATGAATAAAATAATACATAAGAATATTCATGAGGTGTATGACAGCATCATAACAATAACAATATAAAATTGAAGTATATAATTATTTTAAAATTGTTTGCATCCCTTTACGAATTATTTTTTAAAATTACAAACATAAGGTTTATTGTTTCAAATAAAGAATAATTATAATAAATTACACAATAATTGATCGTCAACGTGCAAAAACGAGTTATTTATTTTGCACTAAATACTGTACACTAAACATAACCAAAGCATTCATACTAGCAAACAGTGTAAATTATTTTTAAAAACAATTAAAACAGTATTACTTTTAATTAAAAAAATTATAAACAATTATTTTGTTAAAATTAATCTTAATAATATTATAAATATATTTATTAAAAATAAATTAAATGAATTATATTTTAACAAATAAATATTCAGTATTATCATTTAAAAAATAAATATCTCTTTTCAACACCCAAGGGATCAATTGTTAAAATGTATTTATGAATGTGTTTCAAAAATTCAATTAAAGACTAATTACATTATAAATTATAAATCTTCTCCATTAAAAATATAATCAAAGCTATTATGTGTCCAAAAATGAACATGTTGAATATATTACTAAGATTTCCCAGATTGACATTTGAATTGATATATAATGAATTCGAGATATGTTTTGAAATATGTTTGATTACATTGCCATCATTACTCAATTTGGTATATAAAGCATTTTGCCAAAATTCCATTAACCCTGATTCTCTTAAATATGCTAACCTATAAAATATCAAGCAAAAACTTAAATATTGTATAATATCATAATCATTCATTAACTTCAAATACATACAAAATATCTATTGTTTGTCTTAACGGACTTCCCTTTTGGAAACCCAAATGAACATGTTGAATATATTACTAAGATTTCCCAGATTGACATTTGAATTGATATATAATGAATTCGAGATATGTTTTGAAATATGTTTGATTACATTGCCATCATTACTCCATTTGGTATATAAAACATTTTGCCAAAACCCTATTAACCCTGATTCTCTGAAATATGCTAACCTATAAAATATCAAGCAAAAACTTAAATATTGTATAATATCATAATCATTCATTAACTTCAAATACATACAAAATATCTATTGTTTGTCTTAACGGACTTCCCTTTTGGAAACCCATTCCAATGAAAGTCATGCCAAATGTCGAATCCGAAGTCAATGGCATTAAATAATGGGATTTAATATAATAATTATGCAAATAGTACTCCAGGATATGACGTTTATGTATAATAATATTGTGTTTATCAGATTTTAAAACATCAAGCATGTTTGTGGTAATATTGAGCAACTTTATTCTCTTACCCACTGTCCGATATAAATCTGATTCCTTATCCTGGTCATATATATACATATATTATTAGTTATAAATTTGTAAATAATTAAATTTAAATCACACCTGAATTAAATCTTTAAACGGGAATTGGTTATACATGTAGAGGTTGATATCACCTTGCTCTAATGCACTGTGTAACTCATTAATCGATTCAATAGAATTTGTTTTTGGAACTGAAATCAATGAGTAAACCACCTGGCTATAAATCATTGATAGAATATACATGAATATGAACCATGAACAAATTATAATTCGACGTTTGCTTGATAATAATCGATTCAATAGAATTTGTTTTTGGAACTGAAATCAATGAGTAAACCACCAGGCTATAAATCATTGATAGAATATACATGAATATGAACCAGTAACTAATTATAACTCGACGCTTGCTTGATAAACTTCCCGTTGTAAGCACCTTTAGCTTAAATATATTCCAATAATCATTGC